TTTAAGGATAAGCCATGGCAGGGAAAAAAGGGGCTACAAATTTCATAAGTTTAAGGTTTATGTCGAGTAAAAAAAATTGGATGTGAAAAGTGGGGTTTTTAGTAACCCTTTTATCACCTTTGGGGAAGGGAGAAGTGTAAAAGGAGAGAAGTTGAGGGGAGAGAGAGATTTTGGGGGAAAGTTTTTAGTGAAGCGTGGGGGGTTTTGGGAAACAAGTGTAGAGTAATTTTTTTGGGTTTGGGGGTTTCAAATTTCTAAAGTGGGGAAAAAAGTTATGGAGGGAGAAATAGGTAAATTTGGGTGCCAGGGGTAAATGTAAATGGGGAGCCTTAATTGAGCTATGTGTAGAAAGAAATTTGGTATAAGTAATACATATTTATGAAAAAGAGGATAAATAAATATACAAGGTATGATGTAGCACGTAATGAAAGTAGTTTGTTAGATTATGTATTGGTGGATAAAAGGTTGATGGGTAGGCTCCAGGATGTACATGTTTATAGAGGGGCAACTGATATATCAGATCATTATTTAGTTGTAGCTACAGTTAGAGTAAGAGGTAGATGGGAAAAGAGGAAGGTGGCAACAACAAGTAAGAGGGAGGTGAAAGTGTATAAACTAAGGGAGGAGGAAGTTCGGGCGAGATATAAGCGACTATTGGCAGAAAGGTGGGCTAGTGCAAAGATGAGTATGGGGGGTTGAAGAGGGTTGGAATAGTTTTAAAAATGCAGTATTAGAATGTGGGGCAGAAGTTTGTGGTTATAGGAGGGTGGGGCAGGAGGAAAGGAGTGATTGGTGGAATGATGAAGTAAAGGGTGTGATAAAAGAGAAAAAGGTAGCTTACGAGAGGTTTTTACAAAGCAGAAGTGTTATAAGAAGAGCAGAGTATATGGAGAGTAAAAGAAAGTGAAGAGAGTGGTGAGAGAGTGCAAAAGGAGAGCAGATGAAAGAGTGGGAGAGGCACTGTCAAGAATTTAATGAAAATAAGAAAAAATTTTGAGTGAGTTAAACAAGTTAAGAAAGCCTAGGAAAGTATGGATTTGTCCGTTAAAAACAGAGTAGGGGAGTTAGTAGATGGGGAGAGGGAGGTATTAGGTAATGGCGAGAATATTTTGAGGAACTTTTAAATGTTGAGAAGAAAGGGAGGCGGTAATTTCATGCACTGGCCAGGGAGGTATACCATCTTTTAGGAGTGAAGAAGAGCAGAATGTAAGTGTGGTGGAGGTACTTGAGGCATTACGTAGAATGAAAAGGGGTAAAGCAGCTGGAACTGATGGGATCATGACAGAAATGTTAAAAGCAGGAGGGGATATAGTGTTGGAGTGGTTGGTACTTTTGTTTAATAAATGTATGAAAGAGGGGAAGGTACCTAGGGATTGGCAGAGAGCATGTATAGTCCCTTTATATAAAGGGAAAGGGGACAAAAAAGATTGTAAAAATTATAGAGGAATAAGTTTATTCAGTATACCAGGAAAAGTGTACGGTAGGGTTATAATTGAAAGAATTAGAGGTAAGACAGAATGTAGAATTGCGGATGAGCAAGGAGGTTTCAGAGTGGGTAGGGGATGTGTAGATCAAGTGTTTACATTGAAGCATATTTGTGAACAGTATTTAGATAAAGGTAGGGAAGTTTTTATTGCATTTATGGATTTAGAAAAGGCATATGATAGAGTGGATAGAGGAGCAATGTGGCAGATGTTGCAAGTTTATGGAATAGGTGGTAAGTTACTAAATGCTGTAAAGAGCTCTTATGAGGATAGTGAGGCTCTGGTTAGGGTGTGTAGAAGAGAGGGAGAATACTTCCTGGTAAAAGTAGGTCTTAGACAGGGATGTGTAATGTCACCATGGTTGTTTAATATATTTATAGATGGGGTTGTAAAAGAAGTAAATGCTAGGGTGTTCGGGAGAGGGGTGGGATTAAATTATGGGGAATCAATTTCAAAATGGGAATTGACACAGTTACTCTTTGCTGATGATACTGTGCTTATGGGAGATTCTAAAGAAAAATTGCAAAGGTTAGTGGATGAGTTTGAGAATGTGTGTAAAGATAGAAAGTTGAAAGTGAACATAGAAAAGAGTAAGGTGATGAGGTATCAAATGATTTAGATAAAGAAAAATTGGATATCAAATTGGGGAGGAGGAGTATGGAAGAAGTGAATGTTTTCAGATACTTGGGAGTTGACGTGTCGGCGGATGGATTTATGAAGGATGAGGTTAATCATAGAATTGATGAGGGAAAAAAGGTGAGTGGTGCGTTGAGGTATATGTGGAGTCAAAAAACGTTATCTATGGAGGCAAAGAAGGGAATGTATGAAGTATAGTAGTACCAACACTCTTATATGGATGTGAAGCTTGGGTGGTAAATGCAGCAGCGAGGAGACGGTTTGAGGCAGTGGAGATGTCCTGTCTAAGGGCAATGTGTGGTGTAAATATTATGCAGAAAATTCGGAGTGTGGAAATTAGGAGAAGGTGTGGAGTTAATAAAAGCATTAGTTAGAGGGCAGAAGAGGGGTTGTTGAGGTGGTTTGGTCATTTAGAGAATTTGGATCAAAGTAGAATGACATGGAAAGCATATAAATCTATAGGGGAAGGAAGGAGGGGTAGGGGTCATCCTCAAAAGGGTTGGAAAGAGGGGGTAAAGGAGGTTTTGTGGGCGAGGGGCTTGGACTTCTAGCAAGCGTGCATGAGCGTGTTAGATAGGAGTGAATGGAGATGAATGATACTTGGGACCTGACGATCTGTTGGAGTGTGAGCAGGGTAATATTTAGTGAAGGGATTCAGGGAAACCGGTCATTTTCATATAGTCGGACTTGAGTCCTGGAAATGGGAAGTACAATGCCTGCACTTTAAAGGAGTGGTTTGGGATATTGGCAGTTTGGAGGGATATGTTGTGTATCTTTATACGTATATGCTTCTAAACTGTTGTATTCTGAGCACCTCGGGCAAAAGCAGTGATAATGTGTGAGTGTTGGTGAAAGTGTTGAATGATGATGAAAGTATTTTCTTTTTGGGATTTTCTTTCTTTTTTGGGTCACCCTGCCTCGGTGGGAGACGACCGGCTTGTTGAAAAAAAAAAAAAATATATATCTATATATATATATATATATATATATATATATATATATATATATATATATATATATATATATATATATTATATTTTATAAAATATATAATATATATATAATTATATATATATATATATATATATATATATATATATATATATATATTATTTTTTTTTTTTAACAAGTCGGTGAAACTTACTTTAAACATTGACAAAACCTACTTCATTCAGTTTGGTAACAGAGCTACAGACGTCCCTCTTAACATAAAGATAAATGGATCACCTATCACAAAACTCACAGAGGGAAAATTCTTAGGAATCCACCTTGATAATAGACTCAAATTTCAAACACATATACAACAAATTTCCAAAAAAATTTCCAAGACCGTAGGCATACTATCGAAGATATGGTACTATGTTCCACAGTTAGCCCTCCTGGCCCTATATCACTCACTTATTTACCCCTATGTCACCTATGGAATTTGTGCACGGGGCTCAACAACAATAAACCATCTTAGACCATTAATTACCCAACAAAAGGCTGCAGTCAGAATGATAACAAATTCCCACTACAAGCAGCACACTCCACCAATATTCAAAACTCTAAACCTACTCACCATTCAAAACATCCATACTTATTACTGCACCTACTACATTCATAGAACACTTAATTCTGATATAAACCCTCCCCTCAAACGTCTCCTTACCAACCTCAACAGAACACACGACATAACACAAGGCACAGATCACTCTTTGATGTTCTTCGAGTCCATCTCATGCTATGCAAAAACTCAATACACATAAAAGGCCCTAAAATCTGGAATTCATTACCTGTGAATATAAAAGAAACACTGTCTGTTTATAAATTCAAGTCTCTTCTCAAAAATCACTTACTCACCCACAACTAAATAAATACTGAATAATTGTATCTCATAAATTGTATCTCGTAAATGTTTCTCATTATTATATCTCATAAATGTCTAACCTGTGACCCAATCAAACTTTATTTTTTAATTACATTACCTAACAGAATACTCCAAACTATTGAATGCTCAGCAACACAGTAAATGACCATATGACCTGTCTTTGTAATACTCATTTGTGCTAAATTGTTATCTGTTTACAATAATGTATTTACCACTGAATATATCATTGCTTAGGTAATCTTAAGTTAATTTTAAGCCTGCTCATAATGCTCTGCATACAAGGGGCTTTGGCATGTTGCACTGTAATAACTTTGTACTTCACTGTATCATGTTCAAATTAATAAATAAATAAATAAAATATATATATATACATACATATGTATATATATATACAGTGGACCCCTGCATAATGATCACCTCCGAATGCGACCAATTATGTAAGTGTATTTATGTAAGTGCGTTTGTACGTGTATGTTTGGGGGTCTGAAATGGACTAATCTACTTCACAATATTCCTTATGGGAACAAATTCGGTCAGTACTGGCACCTGGACATACTTCTGGAGTGAAAAAATATCCACTGTATATATATATATATACAGTGGACCCCCGGTTAACGATATTTTTTCACTCCATAAGTATGTTCAGGTGCCAGTACTGACCGAATTTATTCCCATAAGGAATATTGTGAAGTAGATTAGTCCATTTCAGACCCCCAAACATACACGTACAAACGCACTTACATAAATACACTAACATAATTGGTCGCATTCGGAGGTAATCGTTATGCGGGGGTCCACTGTAATATATAATATATTATATATATATATATATATATTTTATATATATATATATTATATATATATATATATATATTTATATATTTATAAATTTATATATTTATATATTTATATATTTATATATATATATATATAATATAATATATATATATATATATATATATATATATATATATATATACTCACATACATACATATATACATACTTGCAGGCACTAACAATGAGAAGACATAAGCTGTGGGTTCTAATGGCAAAGAAAGAAGTAGGAAGATGTCAGAAGTCAAAGGCATCCTTTCGGAAAGAGGTACTACAGAATTGCAAAAGGATGGCCACTGGGTGTATGAGAGTGTGTCGACAAAAAGCATTACAAGTAAGAGGTTGTCTAGTGTGTGTAGTTTAAGAAATATTTGCATATATTCTTTCATTTGTTTTAGTAAGTTTTTAATTATATTTTGAATTTCCTTCGTATTGGTATCATCCTGATGGCTTAAGCATAGATCCAGGGTATTTACATTATGGAAATATTTGTGTTGAGTTCCAACACAGTGCTAGGTGGTTTTCCTGTGGGCAAATAAGTTTTAGGAATTAGATTATTTTTGCTTAGCATATGCATTTAATATGGTAGTAGGTAATTTTAGTCTAAAAAGTTCTATAAAATTTACACAAAGCCTAGTAGTTTTGACATTGACTATAATAAATATATGGTATTACAAAATTGTAGTTCTTTCACATTATTATTTATTTGTGTAAGGTGTATACCTTTGCTAATTAAAGCACATTTGTATTTTTTTTTATTCATAGATAGGTATTAGGTTGGTAGACAGCAACCACCCAGAGAGGTACTGCCATCCTACCAAATGAGTGTGAAACATAAACCTGTAATTGTTTTGCATGATGGTTGGATTGCTGGTGCTTTTTTCTGTCTCATAAACATGCAAGGTATGTCTTGCTACTTCTACTTACACTTAGGTCACATTACACATGCATGTACAAGCATATATATACTAACCTCTCTGTATTTTCTTCTATTTTCTTCCTAGTGTGTGTCCTAGCCCTAAGCAAAACAAAGCTGAAGTGGGTAGGGGAGTTTCAGTGGGGAAAAATAAATGGGATTAAATCAGGAGTATCTGAGAGAGTCGGATCTAAGAAAGGGGTAGCAATAATGTTAAAGGATCGGTTATGGAGAGAGAAGAGGGAATGTAAATGTATAAATAAAAGGATTATGTGGATTAAAATAAGGGTCGGATGTGAAAAGTGGGTCATAATAAGTGTGTATGCACCTGGAGAAGAGAGGAGTGTAGAGGAGAGAAATTTTGGGAGATGTTAAGTGAGTGTGTAGGAACTTTTAAGCCAAGTGAAAGAGTAATTGTAGTAGGGGACCTAAATGCTAAAGTAGGAGAAGCATTTAGAGAGGGTGTGGTAGGTAAGTTTGGGGTGCCAGGTGTAAATGATAATGGGAGCCCTTTGATTGAACTTTGTATAGAAAGGGGTTTGGTCATATGTAACACATATTTTAAGAAAAAGAGGATAAATAAGTATACAAGATATGATGTAGAGCAGAATGACAGTACTGTAGTTTGTTGGACTATGTATTGGTAGATAAAAAATTGTTGGGTAGACTTCAGGATGTACATGTTTATAGAGGGGTCACAGATATATCAGATCACTTTCTAGTTGTAGCTACAGTGAGGGTAAAAGGTAGATGTGATACAAGGAAAATGGAAGCAGCAAGTAAGAGAGAAGTGAAGGTTTATAAACTAAAGGAGGAGGCAGTTAGGGTAAGATATAAACAACTGTTGGAGGACAGATGGGCTGGTGAGAATACAGGCAATAGGGTAGAAGATGTATGGGGTAAGTTTAAGAATATAGTGTTAGGGTGTTTAGCAGAAGTTTGTGGTTACAGGAAAGTGGGTGTGGGAGGGAAGAAGAGTGATTGGTGAAATGATGATGTAAAGAGAGTAGTAAGAGAGAAAAAGTTAGCATATGAGAGGTTTTTACAATGTAGAAGTGATGCAAGGAGAGAGGAGTATATGGAGAGAAAAATAGAGGTTAAAAGAGTGGTGAAGCAATATAAAAAGAGCAAATTAGAGAGTGGGTGAGATGTTATCAACAAATTTTGTTGAAAATAAGAAAAAGTTTTAGAGTGAGATTAATAAGTTGAGAAAGCCTAGTAAAAGAATAGATTTGTTAGTTAAAAACAAGAGAGAATTATTAAATGGAGAGTTAGAGGTGTAGGGAAGATGGAGGGAATATTTTGAAGAATTGTTAAATGTTGATGAAGATAGGAAAGCTGTGATTATGTGTATAGGCAAGGAGGAATAACATCTTATAGGAGTGAGGAACCAGTTGTGGGTGTGGGGGAAATATGTGGGGCAATGAGTAGAATGAAAGGGGGGTAAAGCAGCTGGGATTGATAGGATAAAGATAGAAATGTTAAAAGCAGGTGGGGATATAGTTTTGGAGTGGTTAGTGTTTCTATTTAATAAATGTATGGTAAGGTAAGTTACCTAGGGATTGGCAGAGAGCATGCATAGTTCCTTTGTATAAAGGCAAAGGGACAAAAGAGAGTGTAAAAATTATAGGAGGATAAGTCTGTTGAGTCCTAGGTAGTAGGTTGGTAGACAGCAACCGCCCAGGGAGGTACTACCGTCCTGCCAAGTGAGTGTAAAACGAAAGCCTGTAATTGTTTTACATGATGGTAGGATTGCTGGTGTCCTTTTTTCTGTCTCATAAACATGCAAGATTTCAGGTACGTCTTGCTACTTTTACTTACACTTAGGTCACATTACACATACATATACAAGAATATATATACACATACCCCTATGGGTTTTCTTCTATTTACTTTCTAGTTCTTATTCTTGTTTATTTCCTCTTATCTCCATGGGGAAGTGGAACAAAATTCTTCCTCCGTAAGCCATGCGTGTTATAAGAGGCAACTAAAATCCCGGGAGCAAGGGGCTAGTAACCTCTTTTACTGTATATATTACTAAATGTAAAAGGAGAAACTTTCGTTTTTCCTTTTGGGCCACCTCGCCTGGGTGGGATACGGCTGGTGTGTTCAAAGAAAGAAGAAGTCTGTTGAGTATACCTGGTAAAGTGTATGGTAGAGTTATTATTGATAGAATTATGAGTAAGATGGAGAGCAGGATAACAGATGAACAAGGAGGCTTTAGGAAAGATAGGGGGTATGTAGACCAGTGTTGCAAATGTATGAAATAGGAGGTAGGTTATTGTATGCAGTGAAAAGTTTTTACAAGGATAGTGAGGCTCAGGTTCGAGTATGTAGGTGAGAGGAGGATTATTTCCCAGTAAAAGTAGGCCTTAGTCAGGAATGTGTGATGTCACCATGGTTGTTCAATATATTTATAGATGGAGTGGTAAGAGAAGTGAATACTCGGGAAATTGGCAAGAGGTGTAGGGTTAAAAGATAAAGAATCTAAAACAAAGTGGGAGTTGTCACAGTTGCTCTTTGCTGGTGACACTGTGGTTTTGGAAGATTCTGAAGAGTAGTTGCAGAAGTTGGTTGATGTGTTTGGTAGGGTATGTAAAAGAAGGAAGTTAAAAGTGAATATAGAAAAGAGTAAGGTGATGAGGATAACAAAAAAATTAGGTAACAGAAGACTGGATATCAGATGGGAAGGAGAGAGTATGGAGGAGGTGAATGTGTTCAGGTATTTGGGAGTGGACGTGTCAGCAGATGGGTCTATGAAGGATGAGGTGAATCATAGAATTGACGTTGGAATAAAGGCGAGTGGTGCACTGAGGAGTCTGTGGAGACAAAGACCTTTATCCATGAAAGCAAAGAGGGGAATGTATGAAAGTATAGGTATACCAATACTCTTGTATAGGTTTGAGGCATGGGTTGTGAATGTTGCAACAAGGAGAAGACTGGAGGCATTGGAGATGTCATGTCTGAGGCCAATGTGTGGTGTGAATATAATGCAGAGAATTTGTAGTTTGGAGATTAGGAGGTGTGGGATTACCAAAACTATTATCCAGAGGGATGAGGAAGGGTTATTGAGATGGTTTGGACATGTAGAGAGGATGGAACGAAATACAATGACTTCAAGAGTATACAAATCTGTAGTGGAGGGAAGGCAGGGTAGGGGTCAGCTTAGGAAAGGTTGGAGAGAAGGGGTAAAGGAGGTTTTGTGTGTGAGGGGCTTGGACTTCCAGCAAGCTTGCGTGTATTAGACAGGAGCGAATGGAGACAAATGGTTTTTAGGAACTGATGTGCTGTTGGAGTGTAAGCAAGGTAACATTTATGAAGGGATTCAGGGAATCTGGCAGGCTAGTCCAGCCTGCCAGATGGGAAGTACAGTGTCTGCACTCTGAAGGATGGGTGTTAATGTTGCAGTTTTATAATTGTAGTGTAAGCACGCCTTTGGCAAGACGGTGATAGAGTGAAAGATGATGGAAGTTTTTATTTTTATTTTGGGCCACCCTGCCCGAAAAATATGTTTTATCACAGACCTATGGAATTGCTAAATCATATTAGGTGAAAAGAGTAGAGATAATGATGGCAATATATTGCACTGTGGTCACCAGATTTTCTTCATTGATCATTGTTTTGCATTTCTCCATGGAGGTGATGATTAAGGGTACTTGTTATATGTTCAGCAGGCAAAACATATAAACCAAACACAGAGTTGCCTGTGTTTGGTTTAGACTGTTCCATCCAGAATAAACCAAGATGGTTCACCCTATGAGCTAAAAACTTTGATGAGCTTCTTCCTGTCTAATAACTGAATTGGTTTGTCTTGTGTGAAATTATTTTATTTTAATATGCTTTCTCATTCTTATTATACAGCTTTGTAAAATGTCTATCTTGATAAAGACAGCCATGCTTTTTCATATTTGTAATTACTTGTTTTTATCTGTATGAGAAGAGCTAAACTTGTGGCTTTCAAATATGGGTATTGGATTTATCATAAAATTTTTAGTTTTGACTAGTTGTAGCACATATTACCTCTTCTTGTAACCCATTCCATTAGCATTGGCATTATGCTCTAAGAGCTATGAAGATCAACTTCTTTTATACTCTTGATGTTAATTCAGTTTATTCTTTATTTATTCTGGAAGCCCTCTTCACAACTTGCAGTTATTATACTGCAAAGTATAATAACTGTATAGCATTTCCATAGGTAATTAATGTTAGCCAGTGTCCAGTCTACTAAAAATAGACCATTTGAAATAATTTAAGCCCTAGCTTGGTGGTAGACGGTCAGTAAGGTTAAAAAATTTAAGTTAAAATATTATAAATATGTTAGGTACTCTACCATCCATTGCTAAGCTGCTTTTACGATAATGTTATGATAAATAATTTTTCTGAACAGAGCCAAAAGACAGTGAAAGATAAAGTTTGGATGTTGAAAAGACTAACTAGAACAATGCAAGGAGAGTGGAAAAAGTTTGATCGTATTTTGAAAGAGCAAAATCGCCGGGCAGAACGAGAAGCTGAAGAACAGCGGAAGATGGATAAAGAAATCTTAGAGGTATGTATAAATTTAATCATTTTGACAATTTTGAAACTTAAGTGAGAAAATTTTTGCATATTTTCATTTTATAGGTTGCTGCTAAGAAAGAATGTTATCCAAAAGTGACATCCTGAGGTCCTTGTATAATTACTTAATTTGACTTTGTGTAAGGTGAGCTCTTGCTGTTGGTCCTGCCTCTCAATCTCAATGATCTGGATTGAGTTAAGACTGCCATATCTCTTTTTGAATATCTATCTAGAGAGATTCATGGCCATGCTGGTGGGAGATTAATCTGTAAAAACTTGCACTTGTGGTCACAGTAGGGTCCATGTTAATCTCCCTATTGTGTATAACTATACCTAGTTGATGAATCTTATTGTAGCCAGCTGGTCCAGTGGCTTACACACTGGCCTGGTGTTTTGTGACTCGCTGTAATCCCACCTGTACTGTGTTTTTTTTTTTTTTTTTTTAGTACAAGCTAGTCTCCGTGGAGTCTTAGAGAGGTAGATGGAAGTGTGGAAGCAGTGGGGTTGATAGTGGGCTGTCAAGCCCTGATTCAAAAAGTTTTTTTTCATCCTTCGAAACCATTTTTCATGATTATTAGGAAAATCTTAAATTGTAGCACATCATTGTTTTATATACATTAGTTGTGATAACTTTCAGGTTTGAAATATTTATTACTCTATTGTGTTTTAATAGGTTAAGAGACAGCAGCGTAAGGTCAACTTTCTCATCACATTGCCAGAGCTGTATGCTCACTTCATGAAGAATAAGATGGGATCAGTATCACTGGAAGATGAAGATACCAGCACTATTCTCAAACAGTTAGAAGATGATACTTCCATGCCACAATCATCAATTGATGATTATGACTGGTAAGGTATTTTTTTTTTTTTTGAAGAAACTGGCCATATTCCACCAAGGCAGGGTGACCTAAAAAAAACAACAAAAGTATTTCTTTTTAAATTTAGTAATTTATACAGGAGAAGGGGTTACTAACCCCTTGCTCCTGGCATTTTAGTCGCCTCTTACGTCATGCATTGCTTACAGAGGAAGAATTCTTTTCCACTTCCCCTTTTATGCTTTATATATTATTATTATTGTCGTTTTTACATGTGCATGTGTTTGTGCGTGTGTGCATATGTGTTCCTGAGTGTGTGCATATGTGTTCCTGCGTATTTGCATGTATGTATGTATGTATGCTTGCATATCCATGTTAACGTTTAAGGTTTGAACTAGTGAACTCCGACAAGGAAGATGCGAGTGCACATGCTCGGCAATATATCCCGGCTATGTAGCTGGGTAATGTTAATGTGTATGTTTTTTGTTATAACGTGTAAAAGCATTGCATGTATTTTTTCCCCTAGCAATATATAGCCGGATACGTACACTCCTGTCTCCTTTGTCAAGAGTTTATTCAATCAAACCTAATCTTTAGCCCAGCTATATAGCCAGGTACATACACTCACACTTCCATTGTTGGAGTTCATTGGTTCGAACATAAAGCATTAACATGCAATTTTTTGGTATAGCCAGTCATAGTGAGACAGTGAGGATGACAGATGGTATCCTTAAGATCATCAGGTTAAACTCACTTTTTGTTGTATATATGGATTTGAAAAAGCTTATAATACTGTGGATATGGGAATAGTATTCCAGATGCTGTGGTTGTATGCTTAGTTAAAGCTATAGAGAGTTCTTATGCAGTGTGGCTCTGGTTTGGAGATGTAGGAGAGAAGGGGACTATTTTTCTGGTAAAAAGTAAGCCTTAAACACGGATATGTGATGGCACCATAGGTGTGCTAAAAAAAAATGTATATGGATGCTAGGGTATTGGGAAGAGGCATGGGAATAAAAGATAATGAATCTGATGTGGAGAAGTTGCAGAGGTTGGTGGGTGAGTCTTTGAGTGCATGCAAGAGAAGATGAAAAGTGAACATAGAAAAAGCAAGATGATGAGAGGAATAAGAAGTTTTGCCAATGAAAAATTGGACATCAGATTTTTTTTTTTTTTTTTTATCACACTGGCCGATTCCCACCAAGGCAGGGTGGCCCGAAAAAGAAAAACTTTCACCATCATTCACTCCATCACTGTCTTGCCAGAAGGGTGCTTTACACTACAGTTTTTAAACTACAACATTAACACCCCTCCTTCAGAGTGCAGGCACTGTACTTCCCATCTCCAGGACTCAAGTCCGGCCTGCTGGTTTCCCTGAACCCCTTCATAAATGTTACTTTGCTCACACTCCAACAGCACGTCAAGTATTAAAAACCATTTGCCTCCATTCACTCCTATCAAACACGCTCACGCATGCCTGGTGGAAGTCCAAGCCCCTCGCACACAAAACCTCCTTTACCCCTCCCTCCAACCTTTCCTAGGCCAACCCCTACCCCGCCTTCCTTCCACTACAGACTGATACACTCTTGAAGTTATTCTGTTTCGCTCCATTCTCTCCACATGTCCGAACCACCTCAACAACCCTTCCTCAGCCCTCTGGACAACAGTTTTGGTAATCCCGCACCTCCTCCTAACTTCCAAACTACGAATTCTCTGCATTATATTCACACCACACATTGCTCTCAGACATGACATCTCCACTGCCTCCAGCCTTCTCCTCGCTGCAACATTCATCACCCATGCTTCACACCCATATAAGAGCGTTGGTAAAACTATACTCTCATACATTCCTCTCAGATTGTAGGAAGGAAACATGAAGGTAAGTGAATGCACTTAAATAGGAGGGAGTGTATGTATTAGGAGGTAAGTTTGTGAATAGATGGTGGGAAAAAGTAGGTGTAGTGTTAAGGTGTCTTTAAAGAGAAAGGTTTATCTGTTGAGTAAAAAAGGGGTATTTACCATAGTGTTTGCATTGACACATATAAGTGAACAATATTTAGATAAAGGTAGGGAAGCTTTCATTGCCTTTATGGATTTCAAAAAGGCATATGATAGGGTGGATAGGGGAGCAATGTGGCAGACGTTGCAAATGTATGGAATAGGTACAGTGGAATCTCAAATATTGAACTTAATCCGTTCCAAGAGTTAGTTCTAAATTCGAAAAGTCTGAAAAGTGAGTTTACCCGGAGAGAGTTCCGGGGGTCAACGCCCCCGCGCCTCCTTACAATTCTCGGAGAATTTCGGCAAATTTCGGCCTGGATCCTGCAGCAATATTTCCCATAAGAAATAATGGAAATACAATTAATCCTTTCCAGAAACCCAAAATTTTTAAAAATTTTTATTAACACACTGGCCAACTCCCACCAAGGCAGGGTGGCCCGAAAAAGAAAAACTCCATCACTGTCTTGCCAGAAGGGTGCTTTACACTACAGTTCTTAAACTGCAACATTAACACCCCTCCTTCAGAGTGCAGGTAGTAGGGTGGTAGACAGCAACCACCCAGGGAAGTACTACCGTCCTGCCAGATGACTGTGAAACAAACCTGTAACTGTTTTGCATGATGGTAGGATTGCTGGTTTTTTTTTGTCTCATAAACACGCTAGATAACAGGGATATCTTGCTACTCCTACTTACACTTTGGTCACACTTCACAGACATGCACATGCATATATATATATACATACATCTAGGTTTTTCTCTTTTTTCTAAATAGCTCTTGTTCTTTTTGATTTCTTCTATTGTCCATGGGGAAGTGGAAAAGAATCTTTTCTCCATAAGCCATGCGTGTCGTATGAGGCGACTAAAATGCCGGGAGCAATGGGCTAGTAACCCCTTCTCCTGTAGACATTTACTAAAAAAGAGAAGAAGAAAAACTTTATAAACCCAAAAATATTCACAAAAAAATATATTTTATAGAGATTAATTATAGTTTTACATACAACAAATATAGTGTTCAGTTATGTATTAATAAATTTAAATAAACATATAAAATAACATTTTACTTACCTTTATTGAAGATTGGTGATGGCATCTGTAAGATGGAGGAGAGAGGGAGTTGGGGTTAGTGTTTGGAAAGAGAATCTCCCTCCATGAGGACTTCATGTATCAAACCCCTCTCTGGGGTTACTTCCCTTCTCTGTCTTTTAATGCCACTAGGACTAGCTTGAGTCACTGGACCCCTGTCTCACAAAATAACTGTCCACAGTCCTCTGTTTCTGGTGCCTCTTTAAGATTTCTTTTAAGATTTCCCTAAAATGGGACATGGTTCTGTCACCGAACTTTTTGCAAAGATGGCTTGTTTCAGCTTGCTCAGGGTGGTACTTCTCTACAAACATTTGGACATCATTCCACTTGGACATCATTCCACTTCTGTATTATTTCCTTCTTCACATCTATGGTGTTTCTCACTTTCTTTACCACAGGGATACCACTAGCAAGTTTTATTGCTCCCATTGTAGCTTCTTTCACAGTCCCACAAGCACTAAACACAATGAAATAATCGTAAAATGTTTGAATGTGAGCGCAGGTTAGTGTTCACTCGAGCATCAACAAAACCAGACTGGCTCACGGTGCCTCCGTGGGGACGCGGACAGAATGGGCTGCTTGACAGTTCTGGTACCCGGCAGTTCGAAAATAGGGGCGAGTTCGATAATAGGGACAAAGTTGGTTCGAAAAAAGGGTTCTATTTTCAAAGAGTTTGATAAGCGATATGTTCGAAATTTGAGGTTCCACTGTAGTAAGTTACTAAATGCTGTAAAGAGTTTTTATGAGGATAGTGAGGCTCAGGTTAGGGTGTGTAGGAGAGATGGAGATTACTTTCCAGTAAAAGTAGGCTTTAGACAGGGATGTGTAATGTCACCGTGGTTGTTTAACCCTTTGACTGTCGCAAGCCCATTTCTGAAACTGTCATTCTATGTCGTAAAATTTTGAAAAAAAAAATTATTTTTTCTTATGAAATGATAGAGAATCTTTTTCCGATGGTAATAACACCAAAAGTATGAAATTTTATCAAAAACTTAGGGAATTAAGCTCCCTCGAAGTTAGCGATCTCGGCGTTATATACGCATTGGCGATATCGCCGAATTAGAGCCCTTTTTTCGGCCAATCCATTATTCCAGTCGACCAAACTCATAGCTATTTCTTTAGAACTCCATTTTTTCTATTAATTGAGTACAAGAAACTGCCCATTTACCGATTTCAACTACCCAATAAAGTGGTCAGAAATTGGCAATTTGGCCAATTTCATGCAAATTAAAAAAGATGCCAATTTCAAAATAGGGTCCAGAATAAACAATGCAGACATTCTTGGCACAAAATTAACATATCCTCTGTTCATTAGTCATGTCTCCAGGCCCCACTTATATTACTCTTGCTTTCTATCTTGATTTTTTATTCACACAAAAAATAGAAGATTTACTGTTATGCAGACTATTGCATTATTGTAAAAAAGGTATAAATAATATCAATGCAATAGTGAAAGAATATTAGACTCCCCAGTTGACGTGTATTGGACGTGTGGTGTGATTTGCTTACTCTTAAACATTTGTAAAAATCGAACATTTCTGCTACTTTGAACTCAATTTCAAGGTCGTTTTCATTGTGAAACTGATCAAAATCATCTCTATTTCTGTAATATGTTTTCTATTCTATCAAATGAGACCGAGAAAACGAGAATACAACCATAAAAACTATGGGAAAATACACCTCAAAGTTGGCGTTTTAATCCAAAAACACGGTTGGAGTTTTTTTTCTCTCATTATGCACTGCGTGCTGCAGGATTTTTTTTTATACAGTGCACACTGACCACACAGACCCATTCTCTCACATGTGGGCCTACCAGCTTTCTCCTGCTTGACTTGAAGCTGCTAGAATTATTGAGCATATGTATACTTCCGAAACACTGGCTCGTAAGACGTATATATACGGCCAAAACAGTCAAAGGGTTAACATATTTATAGATCTGGTTGTAAAAGAAAC